CCCCCCCCGCGAGTTTCGCGGGTCTTCTTTCTTGTACCACTCTAATGGCAGAAAGTGAAGAGGACCTCAAGAGCCTCTTGCTGAGGATAAAAGAGGAGAGCGCAAAAGTTGGCTTGAAACTCAACATCAAAAAAACTAAGATCATGGCATCCGGCCCCATCACTCCTTGGCAAATAGAAGTGGAAGTTGTGGAAGCAGTGACAGACTTCACGTTCCTGGGTTCCAAGATCACTGCAGACGGTGACTGCAGCCATGAAATTAAAAGGCACCTGCTCCTTGGGAGGAAAGCGATGGCAAACCTAGACAGGATAATAAAAAGCAGAGACATCACCCTGCCAACAAAACTCCATATGGTCAAAGCAATGGTATTCCCGGTAGTAATGTATGACTGCGAGAGTTAAGACCATAAGGAAGGCTGAGCGCCGAATAATAGATTCTTTCAAATTATGGTGCTGGAGAAGACTCTTGAGAGTCCCTTGGACTGCCAGGAGATCAAATCAGTCAATCCTAAAAGAAATCAACCCTGACTGTTCCCTGGAAGGTCAGATGCTGAAGCTGAAGCTCAAATACTTTGGCTACCAAATGAGAAGGGAGCACTCACTGGAGAAGACCCTGATGCTGGGAAAGATTGAAGGTCAAAGAAGAAGGGGACGGCAAAGGATGAGATGGTTAGACAATGTTATCGATGCAAGAAACATGAAGTTGAGCACACTCCAGAGGACAACAGAGGACAGGAGGGCCCGGCGTGATGTTGTCCATGAGGTTGCGAAGAGTCGGACTCGACTGTGCGACTGAACAACAACAACAAGGGGAAGCATGCGTTCACAGACAGGCAGGATCCACACCAATAAGTCCCTCAGGGTCAGCAATGGGATACATGCAAGTATACAGGGCTATTTTTGGGCAGGAACGCACAGGAACGGAGTTCCAGCTTGCTCCCAATTTGGCCACGCCAATAGCATAATAGGCCACACCCAATAGCAGAAACTCATTAGGATTGGCTACATTAGGGGTGTGTGGCCTAACATGCAAAGGAGTTCCTGCTACAAAAAAAGCCCTGGGTTTTGACAACAAACAAAGTAAACAGAATAAGAAGGGAAAAGTGGTTGTGGCTGGATGACCACACTTCTGGTAACATGGGGGTGCGGCCTAATGTGCTAATGAGCGGTGCTGTCAGGGTGTGGCCTAATATGCTAATGAGTTTTGCTGTTGGGTGTGGCCTATTATGCTAATGAGTTCCTGCTGGGCTTTTTCTACAAAAAGAGCCCTGTAATATTAAATGTTTTTGAAGATGTCCGCCGCTTTAAAATAGGAAGGAGTTGGAACTGTGCTAAACTGTAATTTTCACATTTATGTTTCTCAGTTCTGCGTGCTCTCTTCTTATTTTCTCATAAGTTTGCCAAAACCTTTGCTCTGTATCTCTCAGTACTCCTTGAGTTTTTTTTGTCTACCACCCACTAAAGACTGATCTACTCTCCCCCCCCCTTCTGTTTTCTCTTTGCTTACAGCCCCTACTGTTGCTTGCTTGTTGACTAAGGATGAAATGCTTGTGGGCATTTTGTTAAAAATGTGACACACAAAAAAGGGGGGGAGGTGACATTTTCTTGGTGAGTAGGTAACTTGTGCTCCTTATGCATTAGTGGGATGGGGCAGAAATGGAAAGTGTGGAGTGGGTAGAAAAAGATTATTTGAAGCCAGGGTGGATTTTCCGTTTCAACATCCTGTGTAACATGCACCAAAAATGATGATTGTAAAGGTGAAGTCATTGATAGATGAGAATCAAATTAATTCTGTTGCTCTTTCTTCTCATCCTTCTCTCCATCTCCCTTCACTTCCATGCCTAACCTTTAAGAAAGGGAGACAAGAGGTCCATCTCTCTCCGCGAGTCCATGCACTAGTTGCGTTCTTCATAACCAATGTTTATGAGCTGTACTTTCTGTATGAGGGGCACGTTTTGCTGCCATCCAGTCCCAGGCCTTCTGGGTGGTGGCCCCATTTATTTTGGGATGAGCTTTCTGGGGAGATCTATCTGATATTTTTTGCTTAAAGGCATATTTTTTGCTAAAAGGCATTTTTGTGAACTGAATTGTCCTTGTACTGGTTTTTAAATGCTGGCTCTGTTATTTCTATTTGTGCTATGTGGATTGTGTCCATTAATTTTCTTTGCTTTGTTTTTTAAGGTTCTAAATTGTTCTGTCCCATTAGTTCCCTTGGGCTCGTAGCTGAGAGGTAAAAATGTTTTAGAATAATGAAATGAGGTTGTCAAGATGAAGCATGTTATTGCATGGTGTGAGTGCAGGTCTGCAAATATTGCGTGGCCAGAAAAGATGGATAGTGTTCTAGTTCTTAACTCTTCTGTCTTTGAATTAGCATTTCCCCCTTTTTCTTGCTTCCTGTGTTTTCTGACTGCTCCCCAGCATCTGACAATCTAAAGCATTCTGCCTTTGAACCTTATTGCATTGTTTCAATGCATCTGTGTTTTAACGTATTTTAACCTACTGTAAGCCGCCCTGAGCCTGCTACACAAGGAGGGCGAGATATAAATCGAATAAATAAATAAATAAATATAAGCCTGGACATTCCATTTTGCTATCATGGCAACAGACATCAATTTGTCCAACCACCATTGAAATCTGTCCAAGCCAGCGACCATCAAATTTGGTGGCAGTGAGTCCCACAGGTCTACTGCTCATTGTGTGAAGCGGGACTTCCTTTGTTTGTTTTGAATCTACTGCTGATAGAGGATGACCTTGAGTTTTTAGTCATGAGAGAGGCAGAGAGAAAAGTTTCTGTCTGTCCACTCTCTCCACACCAGGCATAATTTTATAAACCTCTGTCCTGTCAGCCTTTGTGAACTTTACAAAAAATAACAATGTAATTTTGATCATGTCTTCCTTCAGAATCTCTGTCCACGGACTTGCTTTGCCCTGCAGTTTTTCTATGATACTGAATAATACCTGCAAGAGGAAGAGAACATCAAGGTAAGACAGCTGATGTGTGAAGGTTTTTTTAACTTGTCCTTTCATGAGTGAAATTGTGTTTGAGTTTTAATGCGTTTGAATTTCCAGGGAAATTTGAAGTAAAGTGCTGTTAAGCCCAGCTTGGTATCTGTAAATGGAAATGCAAATGATGGAATTTACATAATTTGAAGCACGTTTGTAGAATAAACACTTTTTTAAAAAAATGTAGAACTTAAAACAGCACTATGGGCCGCAGGTTGCTCCGTAACTGCTTCATTATATTGTGAATACCTGCTAAGCTGGAACTCTTCCAGTATTTAAGTCATTATGTAATATTCAGGTAGGAACTACATAGCGACCTCTTTCAACACATTATTCCCAAACCAGTGTTTTGGCATGGAATGCCCCTGCTGGGTTGTAGGAAATGCACTTTTGCAGGGGAGAATCAGCAAGTGGAAAGGGCCAGTGTAAAACTCACCTCTTTTTTTCACATTGTTGGCTTTTTCTTTTTTGTGGGTTCCAAGAGCAGAAATTAAACCTGGTTCGTGGAAAAAATAGCTGGCGGGAGGGGATTGTGAGGGAAGAGCCACGTGAGGGTTATGCAGTCTTCTTCCTGCTTGCTGGTTTCCCCAGCAAATGCCACTTTGAGCAAAGATGGCTTTGAGAATTTTGCTTTTGCCTAATTATGTGTAGTTCCATCCTCAGTAGTAAGAAAGTCACACTTAATTTTATGCAGATGCTATCACAGACCAAGTTGTGGGAATGCTTAAATTGTAGCACCTTGTTCAGCAGATTAGCAGTGCCATCCTAGGTAGAGTTATGCCATTCTAACATCATTGACTGCAATGGACTCAAAAGGGTATAACTCTGTTTAGGATTGCACTGTAAATTATGTGTCGTCTAGGCAGGTTAAAAGCTGCCTGTTTGCTGGCTGTTCCATTGCTAAACATGCTGTGGACTCTTTGAAGGGAATCAGAGGTTAGTGACAGCAGATGATTAAAAATAGATATGCAGTTGGGTTGTGGGCCTAAACCAGGATTATAGGTTTTAGGATAAATGGATTTCATTGAGGTTGAAATTATATTGATTCTGATCAATTTATTAGGTAGATAGTTACTAGTGAGTAGGGTGGGGGCTAAAGTTAGAGAGAGTTGGATGAGATATTTAAATCTGGCTTCCCTCTACAAATTGATGTTCTTAATTAATTAATTAATTGTTAATTATTTAATTGATTCTCTTAGTCATTAATTGTTTAATCAATTTACAGCTGTTAATTGGCAGGAATCATTGGAACTGGAAGGGTGGTTGGGAAACTATTCTTAGGAGAATATTGAACCGAGGGATTGCCCTTGTGGTGGCTGTCAGGGACTGTGATTTTCCATCTGCTGTCAGATGTCTAGTGGGCCAAGACCCAGGCCAATAGGATCTGATGGAGGAGGCCACGTTGGGGTCGGGGATCCCAGTGCTGATGGGGCAGGGGAGATATGGCGGCGGGACAAGGGAAGGGGAAGGAGATCTGGATATGCTCGATCCCCTTCCAACCTTCGTCCCATCTCAAGAGATGCTGGCTGTAGGAATAGGAAGGTGTACCTTTCTCCAAACCAACTAGCTCCCCCAGGTTTTTCAGTCATTCACCAGTCTTGGACTGATGGGCGGGGGGGGGGGGGAAGATTACTCATCTGGGAGGCTTTCTCCTTCAGGCTACTTCCTGAGACAAAGATTGCCGGCATTGAATGTGGGATCCAATTCCCTTTGGCAGCTGATTGGATGTGCTGGTGGAAGACTGGCAATCCCGTCTTTCCGAAGACATCAATGAGGTTTCTCCCTGGCGTCCGCCCTCGTACCAAATTAGCTCCGTGGTATACACTGGAGCTTCGGTGGATGAAATGGGAGCTAAGACGACTAGCGAGAGGGAGGGGGTGAGCTCGTGATGAAGCTACAAGAGCATCCTATAGGTTGTTTATGAGAACCTATGAGATAGCAGTGAAGGCCACGAAGAAGGGTTTCTAAGCAACCTCCATTGTGTTTGCTAGCTCTCGCCCAGCCCAATTATTTAGAATTATTCGGTCTTTGACTACTTTGCCTCAGGGCAACTCAAATGCTAGGGAATTGGCGATTGGCTGTGGCTTTTGTGAGCTATTTTGCAGACAAGGTTTGTCACTCCACCATGACCTTCTGACCACATTTGACACAATGAAAGAACTGGAAGCCCATTGGCCATCTTCGGGTCCAGTTTTGGACCACTTCATCCTGTTCTCCCAGGATGAAGTTGACAAGACCCTGGCAGCCATGAAGCCTACCACATGCCTCCTAGATCCCTGCCTATTGTGGCTAGTCAAAGCTTGTGGCGATGAGGTGCAAATCCCCCTGAGGGAGATTATCAACTTGTCCCTTTCAACGGGGACTTTCCCAGGGGAACTGAAGGAGGCCGTTGTTCGCCCTCTCCTTAAAAGACCTTCATCGGACCCTATGGTCCTTAATAATTACCACCCAGTGTCTAACTTAGCGTTCCTGGGTAAGGTAATAGAGAGGGCAGTGGCAACACAGTTTCAGGATTTCTTGGAGGATGCTAAGATCCTGGACCCCTTCCAGTCCGACTTTCACCCTCCCCATGGGATGGAGACTGTGCTAGTCGCCCTGGTGGATGATCTCTGGAGACATCTGGATCAAGGTGGTTTAGCGCTGCTGCTACTTCTTGATTTGTCAGCAGCGTTCGATATGGTTGACCATGATATGTTAGCCCACCACCTCACCGACGCTTGGATACGGGGGCTTGCCTTGTTGTGGCTGACCTCCTTCCTTCAAGGTCGGGGACAGAGGGTGTCGCTAGGGGGAGAGGTGTCCCAGCGACACTCACTGGAATGTGGTGTGCCACAGGGAGCACTCCTCTCCCCTTTGTTATTTAATATCTATATACACCCCCTTGCCCAGATTATCCGGAGGTATGGGCTGGGTTGTCACCAGTACACAGATGACACTCAGCTCTATCTACTGATGGATGGTCGCCCAGATACACCCCCTGGAAATCTGGACGAGGCTCTACAGGCCGTGGCTGGATGGTTGCGACACAGCCGACTGAAGCTTAATCCAGGTAAGATGGAGGTCCTGTACCTGGACCATCTTTAAAAAGGGTTCCAGAGGAGATCCGGGAAATTACAGGCCAGTCAGTCTGACGTCGATACCGGGTAAATTGGTGGAAACCATTATTAAGGAAAGAATTAGTAGGCACATAGATGAACAAAACCTATTGAGGCAGTCTCAACATGGGTTCTGTAAGGGAAGATCTTGTCTCACTAACCTGTTAATGTTCTTTGAGGGGGTGAACAAACATGTGGACAAGGGGGATCCAATAGATATTGTTTACCTTGACTTCCAGAAAGCTTTTGATAAAGTTCCTCATCAAAGGCTCCTAAGTAAGCTCAAAAATCATGGGATAAAAGAACAAGTCCTTTTATGGATCAAAAACTGGCTAATTAATATAAAACAGAGAGTGAGTATAAATGGGCAGTTCTCTCAGTGGAGGGGGGTAAGCAGTGGGGTACCGCAGGGATCAGTACTTGGTCCACTGCTTTTTAACTTGTTCATTAATGATTTGGAGTTGGAAGTAAGCAGTGAAGTGGCTAAATTTGCGGATGATACGAAGTTGTTCAGGGTGGTGAAAACCAGTGAGGATTGTGAGGCACTCCAAAGGGATCTGTCAAAGATGGGCGAGTGGGCGTCAACATGGCAAATGGGGTTCAATGTGGCCAAGTGCAAGGTGATGCACATTGGAGCCAAAAATCCTAAATATAAATACACATTGATGGGGTCTGAACTGGCAGAGACTGAGCAAGAGAGAGATCTTGGAGTTGTAGTGGATAACTCACTGAAAATGTCGAGACAGTGTGTGACTGCAATAAAGAAGGCCAATGCTATGCTGGGGATTATTAGGAAGGGTATTGAAAACAGATCAGCCAATATAATAATGCCCCTATATAAATCAATGGTGAGACCTCATTTGGAATACTGTGTGCAGTTCTGGGCACCACACCTTAAAAAGGATATTATAGCTTTGGAAAAAGTGCAGAAAAGGGCAACTCGAATGATAAAAGGGTTGGAACACTTTCCCTATGAGGAAAGGTTAAAGCGCTTAGGGCTCTTTAGCTTGGAGAAAAGACGACTGAGGGGTGACATGATCGAGGTTTATAAGATTATGCATGGGAAAGAGCAGGTAGAGAAAGAGGTACTTTTCTCCCTTTCTCACAATACAAGAACCCGTGGGCACTCCATGAAATTGCTGAGCGGTCGGGTTAGAACGGATAAAAGGAAGTACTTCTTCACCCAAAGAGTGATTAACACTTGGAATTCACTGCCACAGGAAGTGGTGGCAGCTACAAGCATGGACGGCTTCAAAAGGGAATTAGATAAGCATATGGAGCAGAGGTCCATCAGTGGCTATTAGCCACAAGGTATAGCTAGGGGCTCTGGGGCAAGTGATGCTCTGTCTTCTTGGTGCTTGGGGGGGGGTCAACAGTGGGAGGGCTTCTAATGTCCTGGCCCCACTGCTGGACCTCGAATGTTGGACTGGATGGGCCTTTGGCCTGATCCAACATTGGCATCTCTTATGTTCTTATGGATCGTAGTGGATTGGGACAGAAAATCAGGCTCACAGCCTTGATGGGGCCCCATTGGTCCTGACATCAAGGGTGAAGAGCCTGGGGGTGCTCCTGGATTACTCCCTTTCTATAGAGGCCCAGGTCACCACCACTGCCAGGTCTGCCTTTTTCCAACTGAGGCAGGTAAAGCAGTTGGCCCCATATCTCACTCCCCAGGACCTAGTGACAGTGATCCATGCAATGGTGACTTCCAGACTGGATTATTGTAATTCTCTGTACATGGGGCTGCCCTTGACTCTGCTCCGGAAGTTACAGCTATTCCAGAACGCAGCAGTGTGGGTGTTGATGGCGACGCCTGTGCGAGCTCACATCCACCCAGTGCTGCGTGAACTGCACTGGCTGCCTGTTGAATTCCGGATCTGTTTCAAGGTGTTGGTACTTACCTTTAAAGCCCTATACGGCCAGGGGCCAGCATACCTTCGAGACCGCTTCTCCTCATATGAGCCCCATAGAGCACTAAGGTCAACCAACGTCCCCGGCCCCAGGGACGTCCAACTCGCCTCAACCAGGGCCAGGGCCTTTTTGGTCTTGGCCCCTACCAGGTGGAATGAGCTCCCAAGTGAGATCAGGGCCCTGTGGGATTTACTACAATTCCACAGGGCCTATAAGATGGAGCTCTTCCACCAGGCTTTTGGTTGAGGCAGCGGGCGCCCCTGTTTGTGGCCAACCCCACCAGCAGCCTGGACCCTAACATCTTAAATCTTTCACCAATACTGATATGGTTCTATCGGAGCTGACATGGGACTTAGGAGTATGGCATTGTATACTGTTGTTTTAATTTGGTTTTAATTATGTTATATTTTATATTGTTGTTACCCGCCCTGAGCCCGTTCGCAGGGAGGGTGGGATATAAACCCAAATTTTTTTAAAAAATTATCTGGATTAAATCTACATCGAAACATTAATAGCTACTTGAGCAGAACAAAAAAATAACAGTTGGTGTTCTGGTATCCTAGGGGGAAGATGCATTTTTCAGTTTGGTAGCTTTATAGACCTGGAGTTTCTGAGTCTGATCACATCACCTGGTTTCCAATGTAGTTACAGGGTGTTGAATTTCCAAGCTGAGAAAGGGCATTTGTCATATAACTACATTTGATTGGTATGCTCTCAAAATACAGAGTGAATATATGAAGGAAAACATTGAGGAACCCGCTGAAGATGAGGCGCTTGAATCGGAAGAAGACCTTGAATTTAATGAAAGAGTTGGATGCCTTTCCAAAAGTTCCTGAGAGCTACATTGAGACGTCTGCAAGTGGAGGAACAGGTAGTGTCAAAGAGAAGCTTTGAGTCTGGTGGTTCATAAGTTGTAAGAATCTCATCTAATGAATGAAGGCTTGTTGTGAAAGATATCTCAGAAGTCAGACCCCTGTGCTGAATGGTTCTTTCTTGTCCTAGAAATCTGGCAAAAAGGGACTGTCACAGGGGTTCCTGAGTTTCTCGTGTAGGAAAGGCACCTACACGAGAAAGGCACCTATCCTATTTCAGTTTGATTTGATTTCATGAACACATGAAACAGTATTGTCTACTCAGACTGGCAGCAGCTCTCCAGGGTGTTGGGGGGAGCTCCTGTGGCGCTGTTCTATATGCTTCTGCCAGGCGATGCTTGCTCCCCATGATAGGGGCAGACGATGAAGCACTACCACGATGGTGGGATAGTGGCGGCGGCGGCTCCTACTCAAAAGCCTGGCGGAAGAGCTCCGTCTTACAGGCCCTGCGGAACTGCACAAGGTCCCACAGGGCCCGGATCTCCTCTGGGAGCTCGTTCCACCAGGTAGGAGCCGCCACCGAAAATGCCCTGGCCCTAGTAGGGGCAAACTTAACCTCTCGGGGACCTGAAACTTCCAGGAGATGGAGGCTCTCCGATCGTAGTGCTCTTGGGGGAACACACGGGAAGAGACGGTCCTTCAGGTAAGTCGGACCCCGGCCATTTAGGGCTTTAAAGGTAAGAACCAGCACTTTGAAGCGAATCCGGTATGCTATCGGCAGCCAGTGCAGTGCTTGCAGCCCGGGCTGGATATGGTTTCTCCTAGAGAGGCCCATCAGCAACCTGGCTGCAGCATTCTGCACTAGCTGCAGCTTCCGGATTTGCAGCACAGGTAGCCCTAAGTAGAGAGTGTTACAGTAGTCAAGCCTCGAGGTGACCGTCGCATGGATCACAGTGGCCAGGTCTTCACGGTCAAGGTAGGGGACCAACTGCCGAGCCAGCCGCAGATGGTAAAAGGCCGCCCTGGCAGTGGTTGCCACCTGGGCCTCCATCGTTAGCAAGGAGTCCAGGAGCACCCCCAAACTCCTAACGTCCCGCGCAGGCACCAATGGCACCCCATCAAAGGCCGGGAGAGGGAGCCCCAACCCCAGACCGGTCTGACTCAGGCACAGGACCTCCGTCTTTGCTGGGTTTAATTTCAACTGGTTCAGTATGAGCCAACCAGCCACAGCTTGCAACGCCCGATGAAGGTCATTGGGATCAGAGTCTGCCTGGCCGCCCAACATCAGATAGAGCTGGGTATCATCAGCATATTGATGACACCCAAGCCCACACCTCCGGGCAATCTGGGCGAGGGGGCGCATATAGATGTTAAACAACATAGGGGACAACACAGCTCACTGGGGCACCCCACACTCAAGGGGATGCCTTCGGGACCGCTTGTCCCTCTGTCCCCGACCTTGAAGAAAAGAGGCAAACCATTGAAGGGCAAGCACCTGAATCCCCACGTCGGTGAGGCGGCGGGCCAGCAACTCGTGGTCGACCGTGTCAAACGCAGTCGACAGATCTAAGAACACCAGCGCCGCGACGACGCCTCGATCCAGATGCCTACAGAGATCGTCCATCAGAGCGACCAGCACCGTCTCCGTCCTGTGACCCGGGCGAAAGCCGGACTGGAAGGGATCGAGGATGGAAGCCTTATCCAGATAGCCCTGTAGCTGTGACGCCACCGCCCTCTCAATAAGTTTGCTCAAATAGGGCAAATTGGAAACCAGCCGATAGTTGGCCAATTAGGCCGGGTCTAGAGATGGCTTTTTCAAGAGAGGGCGGACCAGTGCTTCCTTAAGTGTTCCGGGGAACCGTCCCTCCGCGAGGGACTTGTTGACAATCTCACACAGTGCACCTCGAAACCACTCGTGGCCCGCTTTAATAAGCCAGGAGGGGCACGGATCCAGGTTGCATGTGGTTGGGCGCACTGATACGAGCAACCTGTTAGCTTCCTCCAGCCTAAGTGGGTCGAAATTCACTAAACCCGGCACCAAAGATGTGCAAGGGGACTCAAGTTCCCTAACTGTTTCGATTGTGGCGGGAAGGTCGCGGCGGAGGACCAAGACTTTATCTACGAAATAGCTCGCAAATGCCTCACAGCCTAGATCCAATTCCCTAGCATTTTGTCTGCCCTGAGGCAGAGCTGTCAAAGACCGAATTACACTATATAATTGGGCTGGGCGTGAACTAACAGATGCAATCGAGGTCGCATAGAACTCTTTCTTTGCGGCCTTGCCTGCCATCTCATAGGATCTCATAAACGTCCTATAGGATGTTCTTGACATTTCGTCGCGAGCCCGACACCACCGTCTCTCTAGCCATCTCAGCTCTCGCTTCAGCCGCCGCAACTCCTGGATATACCAGGGTGCTCACCTATCACGAGTGCGGAGAGGGCGCCGGGGAACGATCTCATCAATGGCTGAGGAGAGTTGGCAATTCCAATCCTCCACCAGCTCATCCAACAAATGCCTCGGTTCCCGCAAAGCCATCTGGAACCGTATCGGGTCCATTTGGCTTCGTGGGCAAGCCAAAATCAGCTCGCCACCTAAACGGGGTTGGCACGGGGCATTCAGATGGGCCCTCAGGGCATGGTGGTCCAACCAAGGTACTGCCAAGGCAGAAATTCGGTCCACCGTAACCCCTGCCCCAAAGATCAAATCGAGCATGTGACTGGCCCAATGCGTGGGTGCCGAGACAAACTAGGAGAGTCCCAGTGCCGCCATGGATGACACTAATAGTAGGTTGATGGTTAGCTGAGGAGATGGAGTTGCCAACTCCAGCTTGGGAAATTCCTGGGGATTTTAGGGGTGGAGCTTGGAGAGTGTGGGGTTTGAGGAGGGGTTGGTCCTCAGACAGGTACGATGCCATAGACTCCACCTCCAAACCAGCCATTTCCTCCTGGGGAACCATTGTTACCAATCTCCAGGGGAGGGCTGGATATTACTCAAAATTACACCTCCTCTTCAGGTAGCAGAGATCAGTTCCTCTGCAGAAAATGGTGGACTCTGTGTCATTATACCCTGCTGAGGTTGCTACAGCAAATTTACGCTAAGTGCCCAAGGCCAGGCACTCTCCCAGAGCCTCTTTCTAGAGCTCATTGTATTTATTTCCACAACGAGCCTTATTCCTAGTGTTGTTATATTTTGGCTTGTGTGCATGATTGCACCACTCAATTAAAAGACTGGAAGATCTGAACTGAGCATATTGTACCTGAGGATTGGCCTCCAGTTTGTGTTTGGTTCTTTCATGCGTGTACTGTGCTCATTCATGGGCAAAAAATAAGTGGAAGTCTTGCATTTTAAAAGAAAATTGTAATTGGTACAGAAAGATCTCTCTGGGCCGCACAAACCAGGGCTATTGCACTCTGGGAACAGGCTGATCTTCTGGTTTTTACTACCTCCCCCTTAGTGTTCATAATTCTTTTATCTGAGCAGGTTTTCCAGTATAAAACCTCTGAAGCTGTACTCTTACACTATATACTTTATTTACCAATATTTATATTCCCTTTGTACAAAGCTCCTGGAGGCTCACAAGCCTCCCTTAAAGCAGGTTCATTGAAAAAAATCCCCAACAGTGCCGTGTCATGACAAGTGCTAGAAAATATTGCTGTGACAAACGGGAAAGTCAGGCCAAAATCTCAGCAGCCAAAAAGAGTGAAAGCAGACGTACCCCAGTGGTTGAGTCAGCCGAAGGGCACCTGCCTTCCCTCACAGTGGTCCTGAGAGTTTGTCTTTGGGGCTCTTCAGGAAGGCCATTCCACAGGATCAGGGTAGCAGCAGAGAAAGCTCGAGAGAGGGCTGTGGGCATAGAGGAGCACATCTGGCACATGGGTTCATATGGCATGAGGCACAACAGCACCAGTAATGGTTTTGAAGAGCCAGTGGCAGTGGCTTTGGTGTTGGGGATACTCTTGCACGAGTCCCAAACCTGCACAGTGATCTAGCTAGGCAGTGGTTCAAACGTAATGAGGTAGGATAGGAGAGGGAGAGGCAACTTGCTTCAGAGGAGTTGGCAGGTGTGGGAACCCCTGAGTTCCTTTGAACAAGACAGCCAGTGGACGCTTCAGCACTGGGGGAATTAAACTTGATTCCAAAACATTACTAAAAATGTTTGTCCCACCTGTCCTCCAAGGAGATCGGGTTGATAGACTTATCACTTCATGTTATCTTCACAAGCATCCTTATTTAATTAATTTTCTTTATGATGCACCTTTCTTGCTGAAATCAAAGATGGATACAAGATATGGGGAAAAAATCAGACAGCATTAGACATGCATTAAACTATGCAATAGGACAAGGGTTACAGAATTAGAAAACAATGGAAGCAAACAACTAACTTAAGTTTTCTGACTGTTTAAACTTATGAGATATGTTGGCCTGAAGGTCACCTAGGAAGCATCTCAGCTGATTGGGGGATTGAACCCAGGTTTCCCTGCTGTATGTTCAGTATGCTATCTGCTACTGTAGACTGGCTTTTCAGATGAGGTTCTAAAATGGAAGGATGCAGCAAAGTTTATGTATACAGTATGCTCAATTATCTTTTTTTCCTCCTGTAAATTCAACAAACTGATGCCATTTTTAAAAATGTGTTCTTCCTTTCCCCATACTTTTTTCCCCCTCTGAACGTTTCAGTTTCTCTGATCGCATTTACTACTATGGCTTTTTTAACCATCATGGAGTTTACAGTCTATCAAGACACCTGGATGAAATATGAATATGAAGTTGATAAGGATTTTACTAGGTAATGTTTCTCTAACTTGCTTTTAAAACTTGTGTTGCTTGCCTGCTGCATTGCTGTTTTTCTTTTTGTTTTTCTGCTTGACTTGCGATGATAACTTTTGATTTTTTTGAAATTGATAATACCATAAGGAGCAGTCGCACCCAGGTGCTTGAGAGACTGCAAAACAAAATGATCAGCTATCTCCTGAGGAAAAGAAACAGGCTTACCTGTGCAATAGAAAGTAATAGAGGATGATAGAATCCAGGGCCAAGCTGTTAAGAGGGTGTTAGCTCGATGAATTTCTTAGGGCAAATTAATTCATTACCCTGATGGCTCAGAAGTTCTTTATTTGTGCCTGGATTCCTCCATGCCCAAGTAACACCTGCAGTAAAAAGACATCTGGATTAGGATTAGGTAACTGGCGTGACTGTTTCTGAGGCTGCAGCTGTGCCTGTGTTGGGGGCCAATGCCCATGTCAGTTATCAAATTCTTGCAATGACTCCAGTGTTATCTGTAGGAAGTAATAGAGGCACCTGTATTGGAGTGTGCTTCTCACCAGTGTGTGCATCAGCCTTTCATATTTAAAAGCCTTCACTTCAGAACTCGAGCACCTTAGAACTGCTTGTTCAAGCTGTTGCTGCTAACATCCAGTCTGGCTGCTAAGACTGTAGGGCTTGCTGTAGCACCTCTCGTAAGGGCTGCGTGGGGCTGTTCTCTGGTTCCCCCTGCAGTGAGAATCCCCACCGTAGTCCAAAGCCAATCTTAAACCAGGGATAACCTGGAATATTGTGAATCGTGGTCAATATGGGTGCAAATGTATTCTTAATCTTAACCATAGTTTAAGATGGGAGGGATAGGGTGCAAGGAAATTTTTGCTCAAAGAGGGAAGAGGCTTGTTCCTGGTCTTTCCCCCCCCCCCAAAAAACACAATTTATTAGGATATAATGAGAAACAAAAAAATCAAACATATATCAAATACAATTATATATCCTTCCCTCCTCCCTTTCTCCCCCCCTTCTCGGCTTCCCACAGTGCTCCAACCTCCAGCCCAATTCTTAAATTTTCTTTATAACTCCTTTCCTCTTTTTTCACTTCCACAGGTACCGTAACTTATCCTTTAATCGTTATTCTTATACATTTAGCTTGTTCCTGGTCTTTTAACTATAGTTAAAGGCCAGGTGATCTTATCTCTCCTGAGTGGGGAGGTTTGATTGTATTTTTCATTCAGCGCTGTGTGCTGGTGTGTATGTGTGTGTTTGCCATGTACTCGCCTGCTTTGTGTTTGCTTTGGGGAATCATGAGCTTCTCGCCTCACGGTTGGAAGGTGAGGTGATCTTATCACTTTGGAAAACAATCGCTGTTGTATGTTTTGGCTCCTTGCTTTGTCGTCATGGAGATAATTGGGGGATATACTAATAAAGTACCAGCAAGGAACCGTTGTGCTTCCGTGGTAAGCAGTCCCTGGGCAAAACTGAGTCACTTGCAATGTGTTGTTATCCTTTCTCAGTAAATTTGGTGAGGCTGTTCTTCTGGACGAATGCCACAAATCTTCTGGCTTGCTGAAGCTTTCTCTTTCTCTCTCTGCATGGATGAGGGTGAACTGGAGGCTCCTTGGCTATCTTTGGCTCCCATTTTGGACCATTTCAGTTGGCTCTCCGAGGGTGAGGTGGATAGTATCTTGGATGCTGTGAAGCCCACTACTTGCCTCCTTGACCTATGTCTGTCATGGCTGGAGAAGGCCAGTGGTGACGGAACACGGCCCCCCCCCCGGGCAATATCACCAACTTGTCCCTGAGTTCTGGAACCTTCCCGGGGGCTTTGAAGGAGGCAGTGGTGAGACTGCTCTTGAAAAAACCATCTTTGGATCCTTGGGATCTGGCCAACTACCACTCAGTGTCAAGCCTCCCATTCCTGGGTAAGGTAGTTGAGAGAGCAGTAGTAGAGCAGCCCCAGAGTTTCCTAGATGACTCCTTTATCCTGGACCCATTCAAGTCCAGCTTCCATCCTGGCTATGAGACGAGACGGCTCTGGTTGCCCTCACAGATGACCTTTGGAGACATCTTGACTGAGGCAGATCTGCGCTGCTGTTATTACTAGATCTAACAGTGGCATTTGGCGTGATTGATTATGACCTTATGAACCACCACCTTGCCGAGGTGGGGATATGAGGGACCGCTTTGTGGAGGCTCACCTTGTTTCTCCATGGATGGGGGCAGAGGATGGCAATTGGGAAGAGGGTTTCACTGCACTACCCTTAGTTGTGTGGCATCCCACAGGGAACGATCCTCTTCCCTATGTTGTTTAACATTATTTAACATCTACATGCGCCCCCTTGCTCAGCTGGGCCAGAGGTTTGGGCTGAGTTTTCACCAGTATGCTGATGACATCCAGCTATATCTGTTGATGGACAGCTGACCAGATGCTGCCTGGTTGCAGCAGAGCTGTCTGAAATTAAATCCATCAAAGATGGAGGTCCTGTTCCTGAGTCGTGGAGGGGTGAATTTAGGGATCCAGCTTCCACCCCTTGGCAGGGCACCATTGATGCCAACAGAGAGGAGTCTGGGTGTGATCTTGGGTGCCTCGCTTTCTATGGAGCCATTGCCAGAACAACTTTTTATCATCACCGGCTGGTCAGGCAACTGGTTCCCTATCTCTCTCCTCGCAACCTAGCCACAGCAATCCATGCAATGGTCACCTCCAGGCTGGAATACTGTAACTCGCTCTACGCTGGGCTGCCCTTGAGGTTGACTCAGAAACTCCAGCTGGTTCAAAATGTAGTGGAATGTGTCCTTACGGGTCACCTTTTAGAGCATATATCCATCCAGTTCTTCTCCAGCTACATTGGCTTCCAGTGGAGTACCGAGTACAGTTCAAGGTTATGGTATTAACCCTCAAAGCCCTGAGTGGCCTGGGAGCCACATATCTATAGGACCGCCTCTTCCGCTATGTCCCTCGAAGAGTGTTGTGCTCATCAGAACAACAGCTGCTGGTGGTCCCTGGCCCTAAGGACATCTGTTTAGCCTCCAGCCTGGTGGAACACTCTCCCAAGTGAGATTAGGGCCCTGCGGGATCTGCTTCATTTCCACAGGGCCTGTAAAATGAAGATGTTCCGCTGGGCCTTTGGTTGAGGCGATGAGTGTCTCATTATTCTGGCCTCCCCTGCTCTACCCCCTGACCTATTATGTTCAGTGACTGTACGTTCAGTGACCGCCCACTGCCCTTTATTAATCTTGGGCACTTTATAGACCCATAGGAGCATGCTCCTAGGCTTTTGGGCCATCTTGGTGTGCTTAATTTTGTAAAACTGTAGGATGTTTTAATTGTTTTATCTGTGTTTTAAATTTTTTGCGAGCCACCCTGAGCCCTGCGTGTGGGGAAAGGCGGGATAGGAATCTAAGTGCTTAAATTTTCAGACTCATCTAAGGCCCCATGTGTTGCTCACTACGCCTTTGAACATTTTACCAAGTATTGTGACAATCCAGTGTGCTGATGTGCTCCCGGCCTACTCTGTGCTTCACTGATTGGAGCTACAATTTGAAGTACGTTTACTAGGGAGTAAGTCCCATTGAGGGAGGGAGGGAGGGAGGGAGGGAAGGCAGCATGGTACAGCCTCATTTCATCAGATCTCATCAGATCTTGGAAGCTAAGTCCGGTTGGTACTTGAAAGGGAGACCAACAAGGAGGCCTCTGCAGAGGAAAGCAATTGCAGATCACCTCTGCTTCTCACTTGCCTTGAAAGCCCCTTGCTGGGGTCACCACAAGTTGGCTGCAGCTTGATGGCACTTTACACACACAAGTCCAATAGGGACTCACTTCTGAGTATATACATGCTTGGGATCACACTGTTAGGTCTTCAGCCTGCATCCTGGATCTGTTCTGCTTACAAATACCTTCATGCCTGGAAAAAGATGCACGTACGCAAAGATGTCTGTCTTTTTAAATAGAAATGCAGACTTGGTTCCTCCTTTCACTTCCTCTTCAAGGGGTGAATGGAAGCAGAGATGAAGCAAATTAAGACGCTTCATGTTCAGGTAGCCTAATTAAGGCTTTTGGCGAGCACTAGCTAGTGAATGGCTTCCATGGAGAATGCTTGACATTGAACAATGCTTAGCATCTATACACAGTGTCTAGAGATTAGCTATAAAACACCAAACAGAACATTGTTGATTTGGGATCCAGAGCCAGCAATTTTAACTTTCTGATTTGGAGATATCTATGGAGAGGAAGATGGAAATTCATGCTTACGCCAACATGAGTTGTTCATTCACTGTTCTGGAGCTTAAGGCTATTCTTTGCCTGTGCTGCACAACTTAAGTTTTCTGGCTTTCATAGCAGATCTGACAAAACATTGGATTTCCTGGAGGCTGAATCTCTGAGTGTCTACTGAGTTGGGGTTTGTACATGTGAAACTAAAGTCCTGGAATTTCCTGTATCGTTGGCAAGACCATACATTCAGTTTCTCTTTTCTTGTCTGCGTACAGAGTTGAACATATTCAAGAACTGTAGTGGTATGCATTAGGCAATTATATAGGTGAAATTCCACTGTGAGGTTTCAAAAGAATTGTTGGTGACTGTCAGTGATACTTGGTAACATGGACAATGTTTCTCTAACTGTACAGTCCTAAGCAGAATTACCCCCTTCTAAGACCATTGACTTTATTGCATTTAGAAGGCTGTAACTCTGTTTAGGATTGCACTGTAAATCTGCCATTCTAGTGCTTCCCACTCCAAACTTTAGTCCATCTCATGCGCTTGTAGTTAATGCCTTTTTACACTGTTATACAAAGCTACAGTGAAACACAGTTGTAATGTATTTTCCTTGTTTATCTTCTAGTAAATTAAGAATCAATATAGATATTACCGTTGCAATGAAGTGTCAATGTAAGTATTCTTTTTTAATTTGTAGCTACAATTTTGTCATTCTGACAGTGCAATCCTATACAGAGTTACACACTTCTAAGTCCATTAGAGTCAATGGGATTTAGCGTGATGTAACTCTGCTTTGGATTGTAGTCGGTCATTTCTCGGGGGTGGGATTTTACGTAACCGCTAGGTTGCCATTGAGAATGGAATCCCCGTGTCAGGTCCCCCTCATGCTGCCTTGAAGAGCCATTGAGTGGAAAGGCAGAATTTAAGAATTCTAAATAAATATAATAATGGATCCCAACTTGTGCCATCATCAGCAGGCACTGATACAAAACAAAGGCAAGGAAATGCAAAACGTGACATTATGACATGGGTAGGTGATCCTGCGTGTTACTGAAGAGAGGGGGAGAACACCCCCCCACACACACACAGAGGGATGGCCGAAGTCAAATGTGGCATATGGGTCCATCTCCTGAACCAATTTAGACCATTGTGGAAAGACTTAGACTAGTTTTCCTTGCACTGAATGTGCACCAGAATTGAATCTAGGGTTGCTTATATAAAAGGGCCCAGTCACTGAAACATCCCACCACATGGCAAGCTTTCCTTCAGGAAGGAAATGTTTTTGCTCCATGTTCTTCCTGGCACTTTGGCTTCTGCCTGCTTGCAAGAAGATTTAAAGAAAAAGAAAGTGATCCCTCCCTTTCACTGTGAAGTTACTCTAAGTTATGATACAACATACTGTTGCTGGATGTTTTCAATCTGTTCTTCTTCTGAGACTGCTTCACTGTTAACTTGAGTGACTGCTTTGAAAAAAATTGATGGCCCACTTCATTTTAGTGATCAGAAGAACTAGTTTGGCTTATTGGTAGTGACATGTAGAATTTCAGTGAGTGAGGCACACTATCTTTCTTTTGCGGGCAGGGAGGAAATTTTGATCCTTCTTTTTACATTAAACATGTTATTACATTGGTGCTTTCCCACTTTCCCTAGTTCCAGCTCCTGCCAACCTAGCAGTTTGAAAGCAAGAAATTGCAAGTAGATAAATAGGTACCACTTTAGTGGGAAGGTAACAGCGTTCTGTGTGCCTTGGTGTTTAGTCATACCGGCCACATGACCACGGAAATGTCTTTGGACAGCGCTGGCTCTTCGTCTTTGAAACGAAGATGAGCACCGTAACCCTAGAGTCGGATTCGACTGGCTTTTGAGCAAGGGAACCTTTACCTTTACTTTTTCCCCTCTTTCTACAGGCAGTGTTACAACTTCATTGCCAAATTAAAGAAAAACATAATTTCCCTGTTTTATCTCTCATATAAACTCTTTTTTACCACTGTTCTGCATTAGACTCTTTTTCTTCCCCCTGGGAAATTATGTGTTTTCTATCACACACAATGCCCCTAGATAAGAAGAAATTCAATTTTTGATGCATTCTCTTTATGTTGCCTGTAATAATTTTTTTAAAATGTCTTTCAAAGTAAATGGGGGGGGGGGATTGTAACCAAAGTTTTCAACTGATTGATCATATATATATAAAGTTCTTTCTTGATAAAGTCCTTTCTTGTGCGCTCACAGCATAGAATTTGCTCATCACAAATTCCAGCAACAAAAGAGTCACTTGCCAGATTTAGTTGCCGCCAACAAAAAGGAAAAGGGCTTCAGTTGCTGTTACTGAGCATGCTGTGTAATCTGACAAGCAGCTGCTTTAGTAGCATGGCCGGCCATAGTCATTCTACAGTGCAAGGAGCCGCCCAGTGACCCAAGAGGTTCACTGAGCTCCTCAAGTCAAGGGATGGCTCCGCATGCCAGTGGACAGCACTACAGCTTGCACAACAAATCTGCAGAATTCAAACCCAGTATGTTGTTGTCTCTTAAGGAGCCATGACAGTTTCCAAGAATTAATTGGGGGAATGGTGTGTTGCTTTGTGCATGCTCTGCATTTGACATGCTGCCCTTGGTTGGTTTGAACAGTCCATGTTTTGCAGACTGTTTCTTTTGTGTGGCGGTTGACATGTTGGAATCCCACTAAAAAGAAATGGGTTGCTTCCTTCCACATCTCTTATGAAAAAAGCTTGTAGATATCAATTTCACATGCCTGTCCTTAACGCTTCTCTGTCTTGCCTTTTAATGTTTCAATTTGGAAACAGACATCGGGGCTGACGTGTTGGATTTGGCAGAAACCATGGTGGCCTCTGCTGATGGATTAGTTTATGAGCCAGTAAGTTTGCTCCACTTTGTTTATGAAAGATGTCGTCAACTGTCTTGCTTTGCACTCCACTGGGGGGGGGGGCGATGTCGCTTCCTCCTTCCCGGAGCATTGTGATCACTTCCTGAGCCTAGGCTGAAAGCTGTGGGAGTAGGCAATGTGGCAGTGTACTGACAGAGGCAAAGTGATACAAATTTGTGTAATGCGAGCCCACATCCTGCAGGTCATGGATACTGGCCGTCCCTGATAACCAGCCAAATTGTTCTTGCTTGTGATCCTATCCCTCCCCCCCCACGGAAAGGTCAAATCTTTTCTTGGGGGAGCAGGAGTGATCCCCTTCCCTCCTCCCCATCTTTGAGCTGAAGTTCAGAGACACTCAGAAACACTGTAGAGCTTTCTGAGAGTCTCCAAAGTCAAGAGAGCAGGAAAAAGTCCCTGCTGTTCTCAAGGCTCAGGCAAATGGCATAGGTTTTCTCCGGATGAAAAGACTGCGCTTGCCATAGCGACTGTCTTGGTGGCCCCTTTGTTAAATGTTTAGATTGGGGTTGGAAAGAGTTAGTAAGGAATAAAAGCAAGCAAATGCAGCTAGGTGAGTTTATGTTAAGTTTCGGTTGAAAAGAGGGTGAAAAGAGATATGCAGTGGAAAATGCAGGGTTTGTAGCACCTCTGACTTGTTGTGTGGGGGTGTTGTCAACAAGGCTGCACAGGCCACCTGGTTTTTATTGACCCCAACTCCCCCCCCCCCCCCCTACCCTGGTCATGATTGCAGTGGCAAACACCGGAATTCTTTGTTTACAGTTGAATGTTTGATTGAGTCTCTTTAGGTGGGAGGTTAAAAGGATGGGATTTGATGGAAGAGAGCAGAGCGTCCTGTTGGGGACAGAGCAGCACATCTGCGGTCACTTCAGCACAGCTGTGACTGTTCTCATTGTCAATGTTCACCTTCTTCTCATATCCACGTGTTGATGTGGTTGTGAAAGGTTGCCGAAGGAACAGACGGTGGTGCAGCACCGCCCCGTGTGGACTACAAGCAGTGCATAAGTTGGGGGAGTCAGACACAGTGTGCTTGTGGGAAGTGCAAATGACTAGTGAAGATGCAGCAGATTCCCTTTTTTTCTTTTTGGAATATCTGCAGATCGGTGGCTCAGAGCTTCTCAACCTCATTTTGAGATGCTAAATTATTTCAACAGTTCGCTTAGTTTGGGCATGGGTACTTCTTTACGGCATTCCCTGTGGGCAAGAACCAGCAGCCTAATAAAGAACAGAGAGCCGAGGACGAGGGAGGGATCGATCTGCTTCTTTTCCTCCTTTTAAAAAATTTCTCTGAGAATCGTGAAGAATTGTGAACAACTTGGGCTACAGACTCACATGTGCCGAAGTGGTGGAAAGACCTTATACCTCGTGCACAGTTTGCATTCAGTCTGCCATATAACCCACTGTTAGTGCTGGAGCGGTTTGTCCAGTGCCTGCACAATGCCACCTGTGCCAACATGTGCCGGTGGGTGGGAAGGGTACTGTGTAAAGGAAAATGGGTTTAGGCTTGACGCTTGATCTTCTTCCTCTGTTGTAGGTAATATTTGAACTCAGTCCCTTGCAAAAAGAATGGCAAAGGTAATAATCAAAGAGTGACTCTGCATCCAAGTGGGAAAGAATAGTGTGTGTGCATGCGTGCGCATGAGTGAGAAGAGAAATTTGGCTGCTGCTAAGTGTTATCAGATAAAACTATGACATTAAGTTAGCTGTGTTGCAGTAAGCCCTTCCCCCTTTTGAGCAGTCACTAATCAGTGCTGAGTAACCACTGCAGATATGGAATGTACATCTTGGAGTTGGTTTTTGTAAAGTTTGACTATGAACTATTCTTTGTAATGAAAAGATACATTAGATTCATATCCTAGGAACCCATTCCTTTATCAGGGCCAAGGTCTACTGACAGAACATACCCCTTCTGGATAAATGAACCGAGTGAATAAATCCCTATCTTTAAAGATGTTCTGTGTCCGACAGTCAAGCCTTCTCACGTTTGCAACTGAACAGCTGACTTTCTTGAGTCCTCCATGGCCCAGCTAGCAAAAAACAGAAGGGGAAGTGTTTCCTGTTAGCAGCTGGTAAAGAAGAGTTCGCAAAGATGGGTCTTGATTTTTCTTCTGTCTGAAGTTGAACTTCATCCTACTTTTTGTGGTTTGTCAAAGTCTACTTTTAGGGAGGTAGTTATCTGGAAATACTTGTGCAGCTTTTCTCTTGCCTTTGTCGCAGTGAGCATGGAGGGGAATAGTTAGATACTGAACAGCTGTATTCAGTCCGTGTTACGCTAGCATAGGAGGGACTGAGCTGTTTCTTGGTTACCTATTCCACTTGTAGGATGCTGCATGTAATCCAGAGCAGACTACAGGAAGAACACTCACTTCAAGATGTAATATTCAAAAGTGCTTTTAAAAGTGCTTCAACAGCCTTACCACCCAGGTAAGTAGCTGCTTTCTCTTTCTGCGTAATTGATTTTACTATCCTTTTGCTTCAAGTATTTAATTTAAAGAACGCTTATCTGTGTTTTTAGCTTGCCTAAACAAGCTTACTTGGAAGCTTGTAATTGAAGCATATTCAGGCTGTTTTCTTAAGCCACTTAAGGTTGAAAACAGCAACTCACCTGGTCCCTTGTGAATGGCTAGTGATCAGGGAGAGAAGGGTTTATTTTTGCCCACAGGTGACTGATACAAGAGCCTGTAGACTCCCCCCCCCCCAGGTTAGATTTACTTTAAGACAAGTTCCATTGAAATTGGGAAGGGCTAAAACTGTAAACAAACATTTTTAAATTGTGAATGTTTGGCTTTCTTTTTTCTTTCTTTTTGAGACTCAAAACTATGTATATTACCCAGATTTCCCTTGAGTTTAAGAGCAAGATATTTTTGATCTCACGTTTTATTTTTAAACTTAGCTTTTCTGAAAAAACAAGGACGTCTCAAATTTATATTTTTAACATACCTATTTTGAACATTTATATGCCACCTCTCTAGAGACCTGCTTTTATTTTGTGGCTCATAAAACCAAAATAGTTCATATTAGCAATCCATCAGAAAACCAGACACACACACACACACACACACACACACACACACACACACACACACACACACAAGAGCTAGAGCATAAAAACAGCACAAAACATTTAGCAGCCTAAAATGATCTTCATAAATAGTCCTCAGGCTAGAAACAGACTGTAAAAGCAATTTACAAAGACCAACAGTGCAATTGCATGCAGAGTTACTCCAGTCAAAGCCCACTGAAACGCATGGGCTTAGACTGGAGTAATTGTCTTTAGGATTGCACTGCAAACCATTTAAGTAAAAGCCTGGATAAAAATTAATGTTTTTGCTGGGCTCCTAAAAGGGAGTAGACTCTTGAAGGGTAGACAACAGGCAAGTCTCCAGAGGGAAGGCATTCAGCAGGCAAGGTGCCACCACTGAGGAAGCCCTGCCTCTGGTTGCCACCCACCTCACTTGTCCAGATGGGGGCACAGAGAGTGTTGTGGGAGGTCTTTTATTCCTTTATTCTATACTTTATGCTCACGGACCAATGGGTCATAAGCAAACAAGTTTTGATAGTCCATATGGTACAAAATAATACAATCCAAAAATACAGAAAACAACCAAGCAGATGGGGGCACAGAGAGCGAGGCTTGTAAAGGGGATCTTAAGTGGTGTGCTGAGCCTCTGGCAGTAGCCAGACTCTTCCCCCCCCCCTCATATTTCAGCACCTCCATGGCTAAGGAAGAGATCAAGAAAATAACAAAACAGCAAGGATTTAAGAGGCTGCCATACCTTATAAGCTAACAAATGTATTCTAGCGTGCCCTTTCTTAGGCTAGGTGTAGGCAACGCCAGCATGCGTGCAGAAAAGCAGCACACCAGACCATTTTGTTCAGTGCCCAGTATCAGGTATCAGCCCAAGCAACTAAGAATAGCCCCCTGAGGTAGTGGCAGAGTACCCTTGTAGCCAGCATTTGGCTTGAAGTGAATCTCTGAGGTACTCATAGTGCTGCTAGGGCTCAGTTTACGTCCATTGTGCCCGGCCAAGCATAGTCCTTTTCTCCTCCTCCCCCATTTCTTGGAATGCCTGCGTCTTCAGAGGTACATGCTGGGATTTATTTATTTATTTTAGCATTCAGGCCAAACACATTCCTTGTCCCTAGAATAGAAACTAGGAATCTCACAACTAGTGAGATTTGTCCTCCATTGAGTATTTTACACGGGCTGGCCGATTTGACATGGGACTTTCAAAAAGGCGAACTATACTTTGTTTTTTTAAGTGGCACAAGATGTCCTTTACAAAGTTTGCTCTTATTGGCATAATTGTTCTTCATGCTTCTGTGGTCAAACTTTCCATTTCTTTTCCTTAGCAGATGTAGGCTGAAGTAGATGATGGTGATAAATTCCTTTTTAGGATCCAAGACATTAAATATTTTCATTCAGGGACTGTTCACACACTAGGCGGGAATGCTTCTTCATAACTATGACCTGTTTCTTTCTTCAAAACAGGGAAGATCACTCACTGCAGCCCCCAGATGCTTGCAGAATTTATGGACACCTCTATGTTAATAAAGTGGCAGGAAACTTTCACATAACTGTGGGCAAGTATGTTCATTTTGTTTACTGAAAACCATTCCAAACCAACCCTCCTTCCCTCATCAACTTTACCATTCTTGGCGTCTGACCACATGTCTCTTCTTTAAGTGACTTCTGATC